CATCGCCGATGTATCGGCGACGCCGGCGTGGAGAACATCGAGCTCGGCATCGAGCCGCAGCGCCAATGCATCGGCGATGCGGAGCGATCCTTCGACCCCGTCTGCCTGGACTTCACCCAGGAGGCCCTGAGATCTGGGCGTTACTATTTACCCACGCTGGCGCTTCCGCCCAGCTTCGAGCCCCGGGATCATCTCAGATCGATCTAGCTCAGAAGCTGCTGTAAACGATGGAGTCCATGAGTCTGGTCGTGATTTTCTACGATATCCTTTTTTTCGCAACGTCGGATCTCAGCGTCACATCATGGAACGAAGGTGAATATTCAGAAGAGAAGTGCTGTGGATCTGGTTGTTTTACATCACGAAACGTGCGAGCGGTTTGCCAAAATGAGGAGGTGGCGGCATGCGAACGCAGCCACTGGGGCCTTCGGTGGAGCCCCATATGGGGCCACGAAACGTGTGAGGGGTGTGCCGGAGCAGACACGTAAAAGAGAAGGGGGCACGACGGCGATGATGATGATGATGATGATGATGATGATGATGATGATGATGATGACGATGATGATGACGATGATGATGCTACTGCTGCTGCTGCTGCTGCTGCTGATGATGATGATGATGATGATGATGGCGATGCAGATGATAAGGATGAGTATGATGGTGATGATGTTGGTGATGATGATGATGATGCTGCTGACGGTGACGATGATGGTGCTGGTGATGCTGATGATGATGATCGTGATAATGATGATGAGGAGGATTATGAAGACGGCGATGATGAGGATGATAATGAAGATGATGATGAGGATGATGATGCTGCGGCTGCGGTTGATGATTGTGGTGCTGATGATGATGCTGATGATGACGGTGGTGGTAATGATGATGATGATGATGCTGCTGCTGATGATGATTATGCCGATGCGGATGATGACGACGACGACAACGATGATGCTGATGATTATGCTGCTGCTGATACTGATGATTATGATTGTGATCGTGATGCGGATGGCGATGATGGTACTGATGATGATAACGATGATGATGCTGGTGATGATGACGAGCGTGATGACGAGGAATCTGATGACGACGAAGACGGTGCTGAGGACACACGGGGAGCAAAGGCAAGCGTGGGAGGAGGGAGGAGAGGGGGGGAGGAGACGGAGAGGCGAGGAGGAACGCGACGCGGGGCGCCGTCTCTTCAAAACGGGGTGACCCCGCTCGGCATACACTGCTGGGGCACCGGAGGGCGGAGGCACGTCTTCGGCCATCCCCACGGCGCACGGCACCGGCCGCGAGGGCGATCTCCGGCCGCGGGGGGCGCGGCGGGCGCCCCCGCGGCGAGGCCCCCCCGGGGGCTCACGCCGCTCGCCGCCCCCGCGACCGCGCCGCCGGGCCCCCGGGCGGCGCGGCCTGCGGCGGGGGGCCCGCGGTGGCTCGGCGGAGGCGGGGGCCTCGGAGAGCTCGAGAGTCTCTCGAAAGCAGGCGGGCGCTTTCGGATGCGGCGTTTCGACATTGGGGCGGGAGGGGTGGGGAGGGGGGGGGGGAAGGTCTGGCTCCGGACCTCTGCCACACGCGGCTCTTTGCAGCAGTGCGCCCTTAGACTCCGCCTGCTCGAAGCAGACGCCCAAAACTCCCAAGATCTACTCCATGGGGGGGGATGTGCGAGGGCCTGCGCTGATCGGCAAAACAATGAATACGAAAACGAGCACCAAGTGCTGTTTGCATTCTGTTTTGCCAGCGTGTGTTTGGTAGCAGTATAAGGTACGAGGATCTACTATCTGATTTCAGATACGTTGGTACACGACTAGATACGTGTACGTACTGCTTAGAAGTACGATTAAATGCAAGCGCAGCAAAACCTTGTGACTTTTAGATGCGACGCCGTTAGTGGATACGAGTATAGAATATATATGTTTGAATGCGTTTGGGTACGGCGGCTACTAGGCGCATTTAACGCGACAGCTCACATGTGAAACATGGATACGTTTAGCTGCGGCGCCACAACCGCTCGATGAGCGGGGCCACGATGAACAGGACGAGGAACGCGACGAACATGGTGCATCGGCGATGCACTGGCGACGTCGGCGATGCCGTCGGGCGGAGAAAATCGGGCTCCACATCCAGCTCCAAACCCCCGACGTCCTCATTTTCCATGACGCCGACCCCAAAAGGTCTCGACCCATACCCCAGGACCGTTTCTTCACCCCGATGGTTTTTTGACTGTCCCGAGGCCCGGCAAGGTCCCCCCAAAGCCAAAAACAGCCCGCCGTGGTTTTTGTCACGACTCGAGGGGGTCTAGGGTCGTATCGCCGATGCATCGGCGCTGCGGATCGATCCTTCGACCCATCCGCTCTGACCCCAGTTTGGGAGGCCTGGATGGAAAGAGAGAGAGGCCGACGCCGACGCGCGCCTGGCCGACACATGGCCGCATACGGGATCCCCTCAGACCCTGGCATCGCAATTGCGAAGAGGCCACACAAATACACAGACACAAACCTCAGGCTTCCCTGTATTTTCCGTATGTTCTGGAGGTTCGTCTTCCCCTCCACTTCCCCCATGCTTTCCCTACATTTTCCTGGAGATCGACGCTGATTTGCGTCTGTGCCTAACCTCATGCCCGTGAGAAAAAAAATATTACTAAAAAGAAAAAACTTGCTATCTCAACATAGCGTTTCGAGGTGATAATGAAGTTCGGCCTCAGCGCTCGCCGCCCAATTTGAATTTTGTATAGGGCGACGATAATCAACTCTAAACACTGAAGGGGGGGGGGCCCCTTTATTATCATCGGCATGCGGTTAATCATCTCCCCCTCCTCAAATTCGGTGGCGACCTGCCCGAATCGTGGACCCGCGGGGGTATAGGGTTCGGACTCCGCCGCCGAGCGATCTTTTTCCGAGTCGGGCATATTTCCGCGTCCCCGTCCCGCCACGGCGGCCCCGGCGACACGCCGTGCCCTGCGAGTGGGCAGCGTGTCGGGCGAAAGGGGGGGGATAGCAAAGGGGGGTTTGAGAATCAGCTCACGTAGCTGATTTTCCCGGCGCCTCCCGGCGCCAGGAGGGGCCATGTATCGAGGAATTGGCCCTTCGGTGAGGCCGAAACCAGCTGCATGCAGCAAATTTCGTAACCCCCCCTTTCCCAATCCCCCCCTTTCGCCCGACCCGAGGGTAGCGTGTCGCTCCCGTCCGCGGGGCGAACGAGCTCGGGGCCGCGTGGATGCGCGAAATTCCCGACCGCTCCTTCGGGCCCCGGGACCCTCACAGTAGAGGGGAGCCACATGCGAACCCTACCCCTACCCCCCACGATTTCTGAGGGGGAGGGTGGGGTTCACTTCGCTCGGGAGCTCCCGAACGAAGTGAACCCCACCCTCCCCCTCAGAAATCATGGGGGGTAGGGGTAGGGTTCGCATGTGGCCCCCTACACAGATCGACCCGGCTGGAGAAATGGCGCAGGAAGACGGGGTCCAGGGCTCCGGCCGTGCTCTGCACGAAGATGTGCAATGTTTTCGCCCCGTCCGGTCTCACGATTCCGGGCCACCGGCGACGCTCAGCCTTGAAGACACCCGCGCTGGGGTCGCGCCGCGCCGACACACCGCGCGAGCCTACCGGATCCATACACCCAGACTTCCAAACCCTCATCGGGGGGACTGCATACTACCCATTGTGGGATCACGCTCTGCGGCGTGACAGCGAGGCACTAGTGACCTGGCAGCTCTCGAGTGTAGTATACGTACTTATCACGAGCAGGTGAATATTTCGGATAAAGAACCGAGAATGGTCCATGAGGTCCGGCGGCTCTGGAGGATGTATCGGGCGCCGCGGCCTTCTCAGATCGTTCCGAGACGCTCCGAGAGCGTTCGGGAGCGCCCTGGAGCGGATGGATCATCGTCGTAGACCCGTCCGACGGCCTCTCGACCACTTCCCAAGGACCGGTTTTTCTTTCGGAGTCATTTTGTTGACAGCGCCGAGGTCTGATGAGGGCCCCGAGAGGGCAAAAACTACAAAACATCTCAATTAACATTTGTTCAAGACGCCGGATGTCTGGGTCTGGCAACATCCGACAGACCGCCAGCGGCTCGGAGATGTCGAGGCGGCCCGCGATCCGCCTCCCCCCCCTCAAATCGGGCCGTCGTGTAAGAAGAAAAGGCGGGCTATCGATCTGGCTCGGAACGACCAGCGTGGAGGTGTCTGTATCACGACGTTGGGTCTTTATTCAGGACGTCGGGTGTCGCGGCCCCTTGCACTTGGTCTACAGGGGCGAGCTCGAAGGGCAATCCTGTAGTGTCACAGCGCGTGAGAAGGACAGGATCAATTACAAAGGGCTGGGATTACCCGCGCTAGGGCATGCAGGATCCCCGAAAGCGAGCGCCATCATGGCGCAACCAAAGGGGGCCCATGGCAAATTAAAACCCGCCATCGCGACCGGTCGTGGTGCACCCTGTCGCAGCGCAGCGAAAAGCAGGGCTGCCCTAGCAACCGGCACACGATCCACGAGTACCTCTCTTCATCCCTCTTCCGACCTGACGGGCCACGTGGAAGGCCTCGTGCAATGCTCGCAGACAGATTGAGAGAGAGAGACATAAAAGACAAACAAAATGTATAGATATGTGTGTGTATGTACAGATATATGTATACATATGTATATATATATATATGTGTAAAGAGAGACAGCATGGCATAAACATAAAGCATAAACGTTGGCGGCCCGTGCGGATTTCTTGGATCCGCGCTGGACCCCCCTCCCTGTCGCGCGAACGCGCCAGGGGCGGCGCTGGAGGCGCCGCCAGGGGGTCCAGCGCGGATCCGAGAAATCCGTGCGGAGCGCCTGCAATTTATGCGTATACCGAGTTTTCTTCCTCGAAGAAAGAAACAGAGAGCTACGAATCCTACATAGAGCTAGCAAGGTGCGGATGCCGCCCCAACCGATAGAACGATGATCCCAGTTCAGCACGCTGGATCGGGCTCCTCATATACACAGGAAGCTCGCCGAATACACTGGATCCAGTCTTATGTGTAGCGGGCCTGGAGAGCAAGGTAGACGCTGACCTTCGGCCTCCTCGTCCTCCCCGACCCCCCCCCATCTCCTCCCCATCCTCAGAGCATCCTCGTGCACTGAAAAGCCCCAACTTTAGGGCAAGCAGGTCAAAGGCACTCATGAAATATGTCGTGCGCAATTCTCGAGACAACGACGTCCAGGTTGGAAAAAAATCAACTGCGCTGTTGGGGGCTTTCCGCGTGGCCTCACGCATGACAGACGAGGCGGGATGTTCCTACGTGCGATGCTCGTGGGGCCATGGGGCCATACCGAACCCCCCGAGGCCATGATTTGTCCGTGGCCTCGACCCCAGAGGTCTCGACCCATTCCCCGGGACCGTTTTTGCACCCCGAGTGGTTTTCTGAAGGCCCCGGAGGCTGGTAAGGTCCCCCAGGGGAAGAACATAGCTCATGGCCCGGGGGGGTCTGGGCATGGGGCAGCGGATGAGGACGGCGCCACCTGCAGGCGCCGAAGGACGCTGGCTCGCAGCTCAGCAGGCAGCAGGCAGCAGCGTCCGAGGCGAAGCTCCCGCTTCGAGGCGCCGCCTCGCCGGGCGGCTCACCGCTCGTCCGGCGGAGAGGCCGCCGCCCCCCGAGCCCGAGGCCCTGCCAGGGCGGCTGGCCGAGCTCAGGCGCAGCCCCGGCGCAGCGGCCAGCCCGCGTCCGAGAGGCCCGAGGCCGAGGCGCCGCTGGACCTCCTGGAGCCGAGGCTGGTGGAGCACTCGCTGCAGCTGCCGAGCCCGCACGGGCCCCCGCGGCAGCCGCCCGGCGCGGGCGCCGCGGCGCAGCCGCTGCACCTCAGGCCCGCGAGCAGCGGGCTCGGCGCCGCCGGGCTCCGGCCCCCGCGCCCGGCGCTCGGCGCGGGCAGCAGCCCGGGCCGCAGGAGGCACGGAGGCGCGCCCGGCGCGAGCGGCGGCGCCTCCTCGGCCCAGGGCTGCCCTCCGGGCCAGTAGAGCCCCGCGAGCAGCGGGCTGGCCGGCAGGCCCCGGCGCGGGGCGCTCGGCGCGCAGAGCAGCCCGGGCAGCAGCGGGCAGGGGGCGGCCGGCGCAGGTGGCTTTCCCGCGGCCTGGCGCGCCGCCTCCAGCCAGCCGCCGGCGACCGCCCCGGGTGGCCCAGACAGAGGGACGCCGCGGCGGCTCGAGTCGCAGCGCATCTGCTCGGTGGTCCCCGACGCCATGTCGTCCGTGTCGACCGCCTCGGCGATAGACCGCTGGACTGTCGCAGACCCCACAGCGTCCGTCCCCTCCCTGTCCATCTGGGCTGCCTGCACATCCATGGAGGCCCGCTCGAGCCCCTCCATGAGGACCCGTCGGACAGCAGTTTGATGTGTGGTGAATAGTGCTCCTGGTACAGTGGCCCGCCGGTCTGCCTCAGGGAGCAAGTTGAGTCCAAACGGCCAAACACGATAGGGGAAGCGGAGAAGAGGGACTCACGATGGCGATCATCGTGCCTCGGCATGACAGGGTGGCGTGCCATCCACTCTCAGAGAAAACTGATGAGAGACAGCAACCAGGCACACATCCCACCAGCCAACTGGGAGAAGGTGGTGTACGGTGGAGACCCATGCCAAGAGACACCCTTCTTGCCTCCAGGGTGCCCCGGGTTTCTTGGGCTTCCATGATCTTGCTGTGGAAAACGTGACGTCCCCACACCAAAAATGCATGGACGTCCTGGGGTCTCAGGGTTGGGTTTCGCGTGGAAGGCTTCGTGTGGTCGAGCTCCTACTGCAGCACGGCAGCCCTTCCATCCGACTTCCCCTTCGGGAGGGCTCCTCCCCCGCCCGGCCATCGGAAGAGCGTGCTCGAGTCCGCTTCGACGGATATGTTGTCGGGAGGCACGTGAGAGGCCTCCTCTGCTCTCTCTGGGGGGCCTCTTGGGGGTCTCTCGACAAGCTCCTGGGGGCGTCTCGAGGGCATCTTCGGGCCTCCTAGGTGGGGGGTCTCTTAGGGGCATCTGGGGGCCTCTTGAAGCCATAAACGGTTGGCTTCGACGACGTGCCCGCCCGGGCCCCTCTTAGCACCCTGCGGTCTCTGCACCGGGCCTGCCGCCTAACTGATGAACGCTATAGCCTCGATGCTCAATTCAGCCCAACGCTTAGGTCGGGCATGTCCTCCTACAGGCAGATTTTGGAAGAAACATTAAAATATATAGTCCACACAAAATCAAACATTGTCCAACAATGGTCGAAACATCGTCGCCCGACTATTTCTTTGACTATAATTGAATAGTCCTCCTGTAGGGGGACAAGCCCGACCTGATCCAACGCAGATATGCACACACGTATATACACAGGCAGAGCAGCAGGAACACCTCCCTTCCGAGCAGAGGCGAAGAGCGGGGCCCACCGAGGTAGAGCACGAGCCCGCGGCGGAGGGCGGGGCACCGGCAGAACGGCGGCGGCCACGGAGGCGGCAGCAGCCAGCGGGGCCAAGGGAAGCTTCGGTGGCAACCTATCGGAACCTCCCATGCCATCCTGTCGGCTCTTGCGAATCGGCGCGAATCGCCGCTAGTCTACGCTAATCGACGCTAGTCGACGCCAGCCGACGCTGATCGACGCTGGTCAACGCTAAAGGGAAGGGAGAGGTGACGGCGAGGGTTAAGAGGCAACTCCTGGGATCTTCGCTGGAATGATGAAAGGCGATTGAGCCCGATTAGAAGGCCACTTCACCGGACTAGGCCGGATGAAGCCCGGGATTCAGCCGGATTAGCCGGACTAAGCGAGATAAGCGGGACTCAGCCGGATTGGCCCAGATTCAGCTGCTTATCGACCGCGAAGGTACCAGCGCCGATAAAGATTTAAGCATCCCAGGAAGTGCATCCGAGCGAGGGTGTGAGAAAGAGGGGGAAGGCACAGCAGAAACAGAAATCCTGCACCCGAGAACGTCCAAGAGTAAGGTCGTTTCTCGGGGGCGCATCTCTTACTTCCGCCGCCTTCCGCCAGCCTTCCGCCAGCTCCCACTTGCGGAAGCGCCCTCGTTTTACTCCCGCCGCCTTCCGCTACCCTTCCGCCGGGGAAGAGATGCCAAGTCTGCCGCTCCTCGAAGCCGAGGCCCTTTCCGGAATGCCTCGCATGACCTCGCCCTGAGATTGACCAAAAAACCACGAGGGGGGGACGAGGGGGAGCGAGCTAGAGGGCAGGCGGAGGGGGAGCAGGCGCCGGCAGCTGCGGGGAATGGAGCGGAGGCGCACTCGTTGAAATGGTAGGTCCAGCTGCGCTAGTCTTCCCAGGGGGACGCTTCTGGTGGTGTAAAGTAACTTGCAAGGGCGTGCGAGGAGGGGGCTCGAGCGACGATCGAAGACGGGGCTTACTCGAGATGGCATGGCGACCTTACGCGGCGGGCTGCCGGCGCGGAGCGCTACATTGGAAACGAGGGCGCTCACGCGCGCCCTTCCGCGGGGAGTTTCCGGGCGTGTCGGCGCAGACGGCCCCGTTTTGTTGCGTCGCCCATTTGGGACGGGACGGTGTGTTGCAGCATCGCTTGTGCATTTTGGGCATACTCTGGTCCTCGTCCTCCTCCTCCTCCTCGTCCGTTTTCATCCTCGCCCTGGGTCTGATCACGCTAATGTGAGCGTTTTCGGATTCGGCGTTTCGACATTGGACGGAAGAGGGGGAGGGGGGGTCTGGCTCCGAACCTCTGCTTAATTTGTGCGACTGTTTACAACAGTGCATCCTTTGGGGGAGACCCCGCTTGATCGAAAGAGGCGCACGAAACAGCCAGAATACACTTCAGAGACGGCGGCGGGGGATGGGGGGGGGCTGCGAAGGCCCGCGCCGATCGGCAAAACAATGAATAAGAAAAGGATCACAATCCTAAACGTGTTCCACTGCACGCTGCTACGCTGTCCTGATCAAGGCAACTCGCCTGGGCAGCGTTTCTGGATGGGCTGGTGGGGATACTTTTTGGTCAACGGCCTCGTGAAGCGGGTCAAAAGGCGTCCAAACTCTAGCCGGGCCACGACTAGGCAGCGGAGGAAAAGCGGAAAAGCAAGACAGGCGCAGCAAACGGGCGGCAGCTCAGAAGGGCGAGGGGAACCGGTAGACCCATTCGTGGTGGCGTCCGAAAATCCCGGTGGCTACCAGCGAATAGACGCAGCCAAAATCGCGCGGCGGCGCGACCAAAATCACGTTGAGGTCGATCACTCGGTGTGAGTCAGTCAGACGGCAATGGCAGAGACGAACGAGACCGACAAGCACCCCCAGATGAGATCCGTGAAGTGGACGAACACAAATGTCGAAGCATCGTGTCAGTGCAAGAGTGAAGAGGTAGCAACCTCGTCACAGATAGGACTGCAGACGGCAATGACTCTTGTTTGTACAGCAGTGGCACATGTCGAAAGCGGAGTCCCTGCAGGAGAAAGCAGCCGACGGGCGCACAGAGCCACACATGCCGAACCCCGAAGTCCTTGCACCGTAGAGGTCGGCAGCGTAGCGAGATCCTGGTAAACCCTTTCGGCCATCAGTGGAGGCCGACACCAGCCAGGAGCAGGCCAGGGGGCACTTGACCGCCCATTCCCAGTGTGATCTTTGCATGGAGCTCAGGCTGTCAGAGCACCATCCGACAGCGGTGAAGGCGGCAACCCCAGCCGCGTGGGATAAACCCGGTGAAACAAAGGTACCGTAAATAGCAGCGAATCGGAATCCCACTGAACCCTTTCGGCCATCAGCACGGGGGGGGGGGGGGGGGGCGCCGTCCTACGGTAGCCAGCTGGTGGGGATACTTTTTGGTCTGCGGGCTCGCGAAGCAGGTCGAAAGCCGTCCGAACACTAGTCGGGCCGCGACTAGGCAGCAAGAAAAGCAAGGCAAGCGAAGCGAGCGCGCGAGCAGCCACTCAGAAGAAGAGCCAGAAACGAAACTCCCAACCCGGTGGCGTGGGGATCCCGCTGGTGGGGATACGCGAAGAGATAAGAACTACCAATTCGAGCGAGTGCCGGCCCCTGGGGTCCCTGGAAGAAAACTATCCGGCAAGGTCCCAGGACCCTCCGGAACAGTCCCACGCAAGTCGGATCAGAGATGATTTGGCCCCTGGACGCGGTCTTAGGGCTCTCCAAAGCGCTGCTGCTGGAACGCTACGAGGGGGCCGCAAGAAAACTCAAGAGCGGCCCTGGAAAGTTGATCAATGGTGGCGAGCCTGAACATACTCCCAAGACAGCCCCAATACAGCCCCAAGGTGATCCGAGATAGTCGGAGACAGCCCCCAAGGCAGCCCCAAGACGGCAACACCAGTCAAAAACGCACGGTTGTCCAATGCGTTTGGCATTCTCGCATGTTTGCTTCCGATGAGGTTCTGAGGCCTCAGGATTGCTGCAAGATCGCCTCATATGGCTCCAAGAGGGCCGACGAAGACCAAGACCCCAAGAGGCCGACGAAGAGGCCCGACGAAGATCAAGGACCCAGGAAACGCTCCAAGAGGCCGACGAAGACCCCCGCGAGCACGCCAGGCGAGGCCCAAGACGGCTCCAAGAGGGACCCAGGGCAGCCCAAGAGCAGGCCGGCCACGGGCAGCAGGCCCCAGGATGGCCCCGCAACGTCCACAATACGCCCCCAGGATAACACCAGCAAACCCCAAAATACAGTCGGGGCGCTGACCTAAGGAACCCTAAATAAGGAACGAGGCCCATATTTTCCATGAGTTAAACTTCGATTCCATACCTAAGGAAAAACCTAAGGCAAGCTGTGAAACAACCAAGGAACACTGAGCCCCTCCCCAACGAAAAGGGTTCCTTCTCCAGGGCCCCCAAATAGCCCCGATGTTGTCCAGGGTAGCCCGGTGCAGCCCCCAGCAGACCTCAAAGAGGCCAACGCCATTCAAAACCCTAGGGTTGTCCGATCGCACTGGCTTCCTCGCCGCTTCGCTTCTACATGGAAGAAGGAAGAGCGAGCGACAGGGAGAGCAAGAGGAAGAGAGAGTGAGAGAGAGAGAGAGCACATCAAAAACACACAGGGAACGAGTGAGAGAGAGAGAGAGATGGACCCAGGCACCCGGCGCTCCAAACTTTCATCGATACCTGGACCCCCAGAGGTCTTGACAACTTCCCCAGAGTCGGTTTTTCATCCAGGGTCGTTTCTTGGCGGTCGCGGGGCCCGTGGAGGCCCCCCCCCCAGAGGCCGAACATAGCCAAAAACCATCCGCCCCAACAGTTCGGGAGCCTCGGACCTCTGGGGAGGGGCGCGCGGCGCTATTTTACGAAGCGAGGCCAGGCCCCTACGAGGCTCTGGCGCCCCCTCCCTGCAGGCCCTGCAGCAGATGGCGCGGGCGGGCGGTCGTCGCGGGGGGGGGGGGGGGGCGAGGAGCCAGGGGGGGGTCTCCCTGGCGGTGTGCTCCCACCCTCTCGCGCGAGACATCCCCAGCCTGCGGCTCGGGGAGGCATCGTGGACCTCCTCACTGGAGGTGGCCCCCCTGGTGGTGTTGGCGTCGCTTCTCCTCCCTCCGGGCCCGGGACCCGCTTCCCTCCCGGCCACCCCCTCTGCCCCGCTGCGACCACCGCCCGCCCGGGCTGGTCCAGCCGCTGGCGGTCCGCCCGCGGCGCGAAGGAGCTCGTGGCCGGCCTTGGGGGGGGGGGGGGGGCGGGGCTCGAAAATAGGGTTAGGTCGGGCATGTCCTCCTACAGGCAGATCTTGCAAGAAAAATGAGAACAGTCCAACAAATACTAAAACACAATCAAAACATGATCGAAACATCGCCCCCAGACTACGTTTGACTGTTCTTGAATATTCATCCTGCAGAGGGACATGCCCGACTGAAACTTAGGGGGACTGGCTCAGGGGGCCGGTCCCCCGGGTCCGCAGACCTCGGCCTCTCTCTTGGCCCGGCACGGTACACGACGACAGTCGGGAAGGCCATCGTCAGGCGACACATGTCTTTGCCACTCGAATGCTGCGACTGCAGCCTTTGTGTCTCCTCTTCCGCGACGGCTAGGACAGACGCATCCTTGGCCGTCGCGCCAGCACTTGCAGCCGATGTGTCGCAGAGACACGGCGTTTCAGTTCGGTTTGGGCTCAGGGTGGAGCCCAGACATCCGAGGCTCCGAAAACAATGGAACGGCCAGTTTTGCGACTGTCTTCGGCCTCTGAGGGCCGTCAACAAAAACAGCTCGGGGTGAAGAAAAGTGGCCATGGGGAAGTGGTCCAGAACCCTGGGGGCCCACGCATCAAACAACATCGGAGCGCCGGATGTCTGGGGAGGCAATCACCTGGAATCAGCGCTGCATCGCCGAAGGATCGGCAACATGCTCCACGATAGCGAGGCTGCACGCTACTGGGCGGGGAGGGGGGTTTAGGTTATGACTGGCGACGAATTAGCGAATTGGGAAACGATGAGTCTCCCACCCTGGGCCCCTCACTCCCAGTGATCCTCGTCGTCTGGCTTTCGGGTCACACCTCGGCCGATCCTCGGCGGCCGTTCGGGCCGACCCTGATACCCCCGGAGAGCTCTCGACGAGCCGCAGCTGTGCTGCTCCGCCCCTTCGCCTGTCTCAGATCATTCGAGACCGGATCTTTTTCGACCCCGATCGGTAGCGACCGATCGGCACTCCTGATCGACCGCGACCGATCGCAACCCCATCCAAAATCGGTCGCGAGATCATTCGCGACCGCTCGGCCGCCACCGATTTTGAAGCAAATCGGTCGTGACCGATACCAGAATTGGAAGCAAGATCGGAGGCGAACGATCTCGTCGGTCGCGACAAGAGAATTCGGGCATCCAATAATCAGGCTGTTTTTTCATCATTCGCGGTGACGCACTTGACCGGCCCCGACCCCCCTGGCCACGTCACGATTCGCGCCGGCGCCGTGCTGGAACGAATGAGCCGCTCCTTGGCACTACCAGACGGCGCTGGCGCGAATCGTGACGTGAGCCGCCCCTTTCCCCCCCTCGCCCCGCGCTCCCCCAGTCACGCCCGCGATCTGGAAGGGCAAAACACCACATAAGTGAAGGGGCCTTGAGACACACAAATAAATCCGCCGATCCGGCGTGTGAGTTTCAAGGAGTCTCAGCTACAGCCTCGAGGCTGAGCCTCAGCCTCTGGGGGGGTTGCCGGGGTGGCTCTGCCGGGGAAGGGGGGGTGGGGGGGGGGGGGTGCGAGTTTCCGGCGGATGCGTTTTTTGACACCCCTCACAAGGATCGTGGCCTCCGAGGGGGTTCCGAACTCGAGTACCACCCCTCCCGCACCAAGAGGCTCCGAGGAGGCCTCCAAGAGGCCCCAAGGGGCGCAGAAGAGGCCCCCAAGAAGCCCCAAGAGGCTCCCAAGAGACCCCCAAGAGGCCCTCTAGTGGCCCCAAGAGGCCCAAGAGGCCCCCAAGAAGCCCCAAGAGGCGCCCAAGAGGCCCCCAGAAGTCCCAGCCAACCACGAGATCCCAACCAGCATCCATGAGGCCTCTGACCCACCACCCACGCACGGTGGCGGGATAGGCCGACGGCCACTGGATCCGCCGCCCCCTGCTTGCAGGGGTGCACGGCGTGCTGGACGTTTCAGGTTTTGGTTTTGGTTCTTTTTCTAAAAGAACTCCCCAGTGGGCTTCGGCCCGTCCCGCCGGCCACCCGCAAGTTTCCGAAAATCCGTCTGTCAATGCCCAAAAACGGCCGTTTCGCTCGGGACATCATCAAAAAATCGCGAAGATGGCCCAAGATGGCCTCCAAGTCCGCCCGAGATGGTCCAAGACGGCATCCAAAACGGCCCAAGAGAGTCCAAGACGGCCCAAGACGGCCCAAGAGGCCCCCCAGAGGCCTCCCAGACGGCCCAAGAGGCCTCCAAGAGGTCCTCCAGGAGAGTCCGAAGAGGCCAAAATCATTGATTTTCCCTTGGTTTTTGAAGGATTTTGGCATTTGCGCCTTTTCGGCTCTCCGACGGCTCAAGACGGCCCAAGAAGCCCCCAAGATCGCCCAAGAGGCCCCCAAGAGAGCCCCATGATGGCCCAAGTGGCCTCCAAGATGGCCCCTAGAGGGCCCCAAGAGGGCCCAAGAGGCCTCCAACACGCCCAAGATGGCCTCCAAGACGCCCAAGATGGCCTCCAAGACGGCCCTGGAGCATTCCAAGCGGGCCCCAAGTCGGCCCATAGAGGCCCCCCAAACGGCTTCCGACGGCTTCAGACGTGCCAGGAACCCACCAAGATGGCCGAAGTTGGCTCGAAGCTGGCCCGAGACGGCCCAAAAAGCCCCAAAGATCGCCCAAAGCTTGCCCAAGAGGCCTCCAAGACGGCCAAGATGACCTTCAAGATGCCCACGTGTTCCCCGAAGGCTTTCCAAACCGATTCGGGGAACACGTGGTCCGATAGCTTGGCAGGTCTGGCCTCAACGTTCGGCCACATAGGCGCTTCCAAAAAGGCAGGGGGCGGCGGTGATTCGCCGTAGGCGTCTTCGATAAATGCTGAGTGAGAGGAGGGGAGGGAAAAAGAGAGGAGGGACGAGGGCGAAGAAGGATCACATCAGTCGGAGCGCCCCGGATCGGCGGCACTGGCCGAAGGCCACTACAATACACACAAATAAAAGGATCCCCCATATTTTTCCTTTTTTTTGTTTTTGATTTTCGTCTTCCCGCCCACTTCCCATATTTTTGCACATTTTCTTGGGAGTCGACGATTCATTGTGTCTGTGTGTTTTTTCCCTCCTGAATAAACCTCAACTTTTACAGGTCCGCGCGGATGTGTTGGATCTGCGATGGATCCCCCTCCCTGGCGCGCGAACCGCGCCAAGGGCGGCGCCGGAGGCGCCGCCGGGGAGGCACAGCGCGGATCCAAGAAATCCGCGCGGAGCGCCAACTGTTTATGTTTATTGCATCTTTTCTTCTTCGATCATCACCGGGTGATTGAAAAACAGTCTCCAGGACCCCGCCCTGACCTAAGGTCGAGCAAGTCCTCTTACAGACAGATTCCCATAGCAAAATAAAACAAAACCGAAAAACGCTCACGCATATAGTCAACATATGACATATAATGAATGCATATGTTTAAACTATTTTTGAATACTCACTCCTCCTGTTGCCCCTCCCCATCCTGCATGGTGGCACGATTCGCTCTAGCGGCACCCCCGTTTAGGCCTTCCCGCTAGCGCAGACGACCCCTGCCTCGCCGAAGACGCAAAAACTGTAGAGGGACATGCCCCATTTAACCCTGACCCTTTTTGCCCATGCCCTGACGTTATGATTTGTTCATAACGTCGACCCCCGAGGTCTTGACTTATTCTTCGGGACCGGTTTTTCATCCCGAGTCGGTGTTTGACGGTCCCGAGGCCTGGTAAGGGCCCCCGGAGGCCGAAAATGACGAAGACCTCCCGTCGTGGCCTTTTGTCATTACTCGCGGGGGTCTGGGATCGCCTGGGCATCCGAAGCCCTGCCTCCCGGAGCCCCCCTGACCGATCCTGCCCAGGCTGTCCAGCGAGGGGCAGAGGGGGCGTCCGAGGAGGGGTCCGAGGAGCGGGCTCCAGGAGAGGGCGCCCTCGGGGGCGTCCTCCGAGGAGGGGGCGCCCGAGGAGGGGCGTCCGACGTGCCCTTTCTGCCCAGGCAGTCCTCCCCGACAGGTCGCCCGCGCCCGCCGCCTCCGCGGCCTCCGCCGCGGCCTCCGCCGCGGCCTCCGCCGCGGCCTCCGCGGGGCCCGCCGGGCCGGCGGGGCCCGCCGGCGCGCTCCTCTCGCGGCCGACCTGGGGGGGGCCCACAGCGGGGAGCCCAGACCTCCTCGAGTTGCAAGAAGATTGCGACCTCCTCCTCCTCCTCCTCCTCCTCCTCCTCCTCCTCCTCCTCCAGGCCCAGACCTCCTCGAGCTGTGACAACATTACGACGGGGAGTTGTCGCTATGTTCGGCCTCCGAAGGCTCTTCCCGGGCCTCGGGACCGTCAAAAAAAGACTCAAGATGAGAAGCCGGACCACGGGAAGGGGCAACGACCTATGGGGGTCGACGTTGAGAAACAATCACGACGCCGGAGGTCTGGGAATCGAAGAGCTTCCCAGGAGGGGGAGGAGGGTCGAGGGAGGAGGAGGAGGAGGAGCGAAGAGGGGGAGCAGGAGGAGGACTTCCCTGAGATATCTGGCGCCGCGACCATTGCAACCCCGTGAGAAAAATTACCACCAGAGCCCTATATATAGACCCAGTCGTGTCGCTGCATTGCCCGAGGAGCCGTATCGATGCGGGAGGGCGCCCGGGCCCGAAACTATGTGAAAACGCCCGTTGTGAAAAAATGCGACGCAAAGATCTCAGATGGAAGCGATGGCTCGGGGCGCCTGGGCCCCGTGGGCGGGCCTGGCGGGCCAACGCGGTGCCCCTGGGGAGCACGGCGCGCCGCAGAAACGTCCAGGGGAGGAAGGATAGGCAAGAGGGCCCCCGTGGGTGGGTGAACCCAAGAACGCAATCTCCCGCCCAACCGAACTCCTGGGAGGCATCCATGGGAAAAACAACGCGACGACGACGACGACGACGCTACGACGCCAGACGGCCACGACGACGACAATGACGATGACGGCGGCGACGACGACGACGACGACGACGACGACGACGACGACGACGGCCGACGACAACGAGAGGCGGCGTTAGACAACGACGACGATGACGACGACGACGACGATTCCGACGACGACCGACGACGGCCAAAGCGACGACGCCCACGACCAGTGATGCCGACGACGACCCACGACGGCGGTGAGCAGTGACCACCACCACCACCACGACGACTACGACGGCATAGACAACCACCGACAACGACAACGACGACGACCGATCACGTCGATCATCCACCATGACACCGTCACCATCATCAGCATCATCATCATCGTCATCAACACCACCATCAAGATCAGCATCATCATCACCACCATCACCGCCATCACCAACATCACTGCCACCATTATCACCATCATCATCACTATCGCCGTCGTCATCACCATGATCGTCATATTCATCACCATGATCATGTTCGTCTTCAGTATTGCCATCATGCTCAGGATCAGCATCATCATCATCACATTCACACGCGCGCAAAGAGTTGGCTCCAGGGCCCTGCGCGGTCGAAACGGCCTGGCACCAATAATTCATCACACCATTGGTTCCGATGTCTAAGCGAGTACAGCTATTTTTTTCAAAAAAAAAAAAAAGGATCAAATATCATTCGTGAAACTCGAAGCGATGTCCCTGCCAACTGGCGGGCCTGGAACCTCCACCTTATGCCTTATGTGGCGGTCTCGTAGCCGACGGGCCCGATGGGGCCCCAATCTGAAACCCAAGACCTCCGACGAATGGAGAGGCCGAGGGGATCACAAAGCGGAACGACCACGACTGAGATGGATGTCGCATCTAGCTTGCTCTAAAACTCGCTTGCTCGAAACCACAGCGTCAAAAAACCGGCTACCCGGGAAAACATATCTGGTGGCCGAAAACAATGCAAACCCCCAGATCCGAGACGACGGGAGAAGGAGGCAGGGGGGCATCCTTTCTCCTCTCGGCAGAAGTATTCGCCAGACTTGGCGAGGGAACAGCGCGGCGTGAAGACGACATATCCATCAGGCTTGAAGTGGCCTCCATTCCTCTGGTGTCGTCTGTCCTGCTGCCGTCGTCGATGTCTACTGCAACAGCTGCTCCACCCACTCCTGCAGCTCCCGCCCCGCGTGCGTCGCCGGCGCCCGCCCGGGCTTCCTCTCCGTCGATGTCGCCCGGAGCGCGCTGGCGAGACGATCGCGGAACTGCGGGCCCCGCCCGACCAAAACGATGCGCTTGTTCTCCGTCTCGTACATCCTGTCGACCTTGCATGAGTGAACCGGCTCGGACTTCTGCTCGCAATCGTAGCTGTCGTAGTCCGCGACCATGATTGCCACGTTCTTCTCCAGAGGGCCCTCGAGGGCAAGTTCCTTCACCGCTGCCAGCAGACCGCCCGTCGCGTGGATCTGGGGTGGGCCGAGGTCGTGGTTCTTTCCTTTTTTCCTTTGTCAGCTTGCCGAACGCCGTCGTCTGTTCCTGGATGCGAAGGATGATCGGGCAGTCGCTCTTGACTGCCCACGCGTCGAACACCACGCTGCTTATGTCTTGATTCCGCTGGGCGCAGCGAAGAAGCTGTTTGACGATCAAGCACATCAGCTTCTTTGTGTGTCCAGGTAATTAACGCTTTGCCATCTCTGGCGCCCTCTTTTTGCCGTCGCCGTCTTCCTCTGTGGCGCGCTGGCGCCGGTTCCGCTCGGGCGCCTGGCCTATCGTTCGTCGCGGCTTGGCTGCGGGGGCGTGCGCGCGCCCCGGCGTCGGGCTTGGGCTCGGTTGGCGCGCCCACCGACGGCGCTCGCTGAGAGGCGCCAGATCCGACATGGCCGCGGAGCGGAACACTGGGAACGGGTAGGATCAGAGACGTTCTGGAGTGGCCATTTCATCATGTTCCTTCCCATTTAGCATCGGGCCTGGGCGCGAGCGAAGATGCGGTGGCTCTGGGCGCAGACTAACCCGGCTCTTCAACACTGCGCAATAGTTTGGACACTTTTTCGTGATCACGCTATTCGGGATCGTAAATCGCACCGCATGTCGAGATGCCCGATGAGTCGCCAAGTCTCGGTAACTCGGAAATCATACTTCACAACATCTTCCTGTTTCATGACCAATAGGCTCGCATGTGCATTCCTTCGGGTTCGCGTCGATCAGATCGCTCGGCCGGTCGTAGATATCGGGTCCATCTTCTGCTTCCTGGGGCATGTGCTACTGCGCTTAGAATTCCAGACTCGACGCGGCGGAATTCCTGTTCGGCCTCGGAATACGGGGCGAGGAGGCGCTTCCAGAACTCGCTCGAGAGGGCACCGGTCTCCCAGGAGCTTTCGGCGCCACTGATATCCCTGAAGAGGCCCGTGCCCCTGGAGAACTGATGGGCCCAAAGATTTGCATCGGCTTGCATGCGGCCGTTCTCGCCGAGCGCGGCGAATTCGCTAGGGGCGCGCCTGGAGATGGCGACGAGAGTTTGTCGATGTGCGACGCGATGGCCACGCGTGCTTCACAATCATTTTATTCTCCTGACCGCCAGCTCGGCTCTTACGGGAAGTATATTCCAACGCCTTAGAAAGTCGACGTTGCTCGTCGCTGCCGCGCGCGAGTCCGCTCGGATCGTCTCAGCCCGTCCTTGCGTCAAAACGCGCGGGCGCGTCGCTGCGCGGGGGCCCAGCGTCATTTGCCCCGCCGGCCTTCGTCGGAGCGAACGATTCGAGTCCCGAGGCGCCCGCCTCCAGCGCCTTCCCCCAGACAGTTTCTCTCTTGAGCCTCCAAGGCCCTCTTGCACGCCAGAACTTTCAAAGTTGGCGCCGCCCCACGGTCATCGAGCGCGCGCGAATATCTCCAACTGGTTACTAGCTCTCATCGCACATCTCGCCCCGAGGCATCGCGAGCCCGATGCTACTTGACCCTGGGGAGGGCGGCCGCATCTCCGAGAGCTTCCCATTCTCGAAGTGGGACCCGAGGTGCGGGGCGATGCATTTTTGTGCTGCGCAAACTGCCAGTGCTGTAGTATAGAATTGAATTGCTTGTCGCCCGTTTGCATCATGCCCCACGCATCCTCCGCCTTGCCTGACGGGCGGAGACGCTTCTTCAGTAAGCCGCCGGCGAAGCCCGACAATGATACGCCCTGGTGTAGCCCCTCGATGACGCCGCGCATAATGCTGGGATCCTGCGTGATGTCTCCAGTCTGAAATGCATTCATGATACACTCCAGTCAACGGCTCCAGCGCCTCGCTCGACCCCTGAAGTCCACCGTGGTGCGGTTCGAAAGCCTCGTCAGCATCGTCCACTGGGACCAGCGCAATACTGTTCACAAATCCCTGATGCACGATGGCAAGTAAGTCTTCTCGCACGAACTGCTGCGAAATTAAATGGGTCTCCAATGCGCAGGGACAAAGAAGCACTCGTCAGAGGACGCAGCTCATCTTTGCGATGACGCTTCTGCAGTCGACGTGCCCACCCAGGTCTCCGCTGCACGAGCACGGCGCCTCCACGTCTGCGATGTGCCAGGAATCCATGCCAGTGACTGGGCATTGCGTTCGTCCAAACTCCCTTCCTGCCCCCCCCCAACCGCAAAGTACAGCGTAGAAGCTCCTCCAGATAGCGTCAGAGAGATGTCGATGCGCTGTTGTCCTTGTTTTTTTTTTTCCTGGTTCTCTGGTAGGCAGGACGTTCTCCCTGGCGCTGGACTTCGTCGGCAGACGGTTCGCGCGCGGCAGCAGGTCAGAATCTCGGCGAGGTGCGAACGAGCCTCGGTAGTTTGCGACGTTGAGCCCAATGCGTTCTGGCGCCCATCTCGCGGCCGACGCGCAGAATTCCCCAAGTTCGGAAGACGGCCCGAAAGCCCCTCCCCGCCCCCCCGATTCGCACCGGGGCACCAGCAATGCTCCGTGGCAGCGATCGGGGGAGGCGAAGCCTCATTGCCATAGAAAGACTCATCAATTGGCATATCTTCCTCCACTGGGACGCGGCCGCCGCTCGCGCCTGGCCTCGGGACCGCCCATGTTCGCCTTAATGTGCTGGAGGGGGTTGAAGGGGTATCCATCAGATAAGACGTGTCCTCCATGTAATTGGCGCCGTCGTTCTCTGCTGCTTCTTCTCTGGCGTCTGCTGAAATTGATGCGTGGCCCACTCCTATAGCTCTCGCGAATGTTACCGGCGCTGATGTGGCGTCGGATCGACTCTTGCCCCCGTCAGGTCGGCGCCCCCTGCCCCTCGCGGGGCGAGCAATGCGCGCCTGCGGGGCCGAACATAGTCACGCCATTACCCGCGAGCTCGATGCCCCCTGCCCCCCGCGGAGGCGAGAGGCGCGCGCCTGCGGGCTCTGATGCGTTTGCGCCATGGCCCGCGCCGCCCCGAGCGGCGGTCGACTTCGATGGGCACGTTGGGCCCAGGCTCATCAGCGCGACCTCGGCGGGGACACTCCACTTTGCAATGATTATCATCCTGCTTGCTTTGTTTAGTCGACGCGGGACTTGCAAGGGAAAAGCGCCCGCCGCCACTTCCATCGTCGATGTGTGCGCGCGAGGACAATCTGCCTCTTGAGGTGCCAAAAATTGTTGGGCCTCTGTCTGCAGATCAACGCGATGCGCCTCCATCTCCCGTTCTCGCCCTGGACGTTTGAAATGCTCTCGGAGCTCAAGTGGCGCGGGTCGGTGGCAAGGTATGTTGCAACATAGTTGCTCTTTACTCCCAATTGCCTTGCCCGCAAGTTGGCGCGCGATGCGATGCGCGTCTGCTGCGCGGCCGATTTGTCTAGCTCCCGCCTGCTCATTACACGCGCGATGTCGGTGTGCGGCGTAGCACTGTCTGGAGGCGCGGCGTACCTGATGCGTTAGGCTGCGGGCCTCCACCTGTCAGTAGCCCAGGCATGCTTCGCGACGCCCAAGAACTTCTCCGCGCCCATGCCGCTGGCGGGCGAGTTGGTCTCGGAATTGCCGCCTTTGCTCGAGTTTTGCCATTGTGCCAGCCTTTCTCTTCGCCCGCAGCTTTAAACCTCCCAGTTCTCCGTCGAGCCGCCGCGTCAAAACGGTCCTGGGCCGTCTCGAAGGCGGTGCTCGCCTGTAGGTCGCAGCCGTAGTCCGCGCGGGCAGGGTCCGCGCATTCCTCTAGCGAGTTTGCGGCGCTGGCCATGCGCGAGCCCAGGTCTCGATTGAATTCGAGCTTGCCGACTCCACTTTGCAATGTTTGTGCCATCTTCGTGCAGTTTCACCGTGGTCGAAGATTCCAGTGGACGTAGGTCGGGGTCTCATAGTCGATCGCGAAGAATAGCGGGATGTGGTCACGAGGCTGAGAGTTGGGAATCATCTGCAAGCGTCAACCTCTTGTCCGCGCCGCCGTGCAAGTCTTGACTTGACGTCCCCCAGAAGCGGGGCAAATATTGTGGCCACGTCTATTGTACTCGCATCGCCGCCCATACCAAAATACGAGGGCCCCGCCGGGGGTGCTGCGCGCTCACGCGAGCCATGTCCATCGAGGGAAGAACTCCGTGTAATCGCTGTCCTGCCTGTCCGTTCGTTTTCAAATGAGATGTGCCGGAACAGCTCTGCCCGGGGTCGCAGCTCGTGTCCGAGGTCGCTTCAAATCCAAATCCTGACTTCATGCCGAATCCTCCAATCGGCGTGCATCGTGATTGTCTATTATCTAGCCAATTCTGTCTGTTATCCATCGTGAGACTTCTACTATTTTGCTGTGCTTTCTTTGCCGTGCCAGGTTCATATAATGGGGGAAGATATTGACTAGCAAATCAAAAACGCCCGATCCGATTCGGATATCTTCAGCACGGCCTTCGAGTCCTTTCGGGGCTGGGTGAATCGCCACTTTGTGTTGCCGCTGTAATCGTCGCCCCACCACGATGCAGTCGTGACATACTGTGATCTTCGCCATCCAAAATGAACTGACGTCCGTCGTCCGGTCAAATGTTGTATGTGGTGCTGTCTGTCCTGCCATTCCCAGTCTCGAGTTTCATTAAGAATCAATATATCTACGTCTAGCACCGTCCCAATCGCTCCCACTCAAAACTTCGGGATCAAAAACAATGGGTTGTAGACTGCTGGGCGTGGGACAAATCTCATGATCCACTCCGGGACCTATGTCCACACAGCGGAGGGCGGGTGGAGGGTGCGTGAGGGAAGGCATTAGGGTCTCTGGGGTATACTCGACGCTTCCTGCTGCAATCCGGAGCCGAAGTGGAAGCTCTGATGCCAAGAATACCCCATAAGATGTTTCAGCGTTGCGCGCGGGCCGGCGTTCACAACGCGGCAGAGGAGCTCAAGCCTACGAGCGGGGAGTCGAAAAAGCGAAGGATCGACGCCAAGCGGGAAAGCCAAAACAGGCAAGGCCAGGGCCTGTAGAAAGCGGGGTAGGGGCGAACAAAACACTAGAAACTCTGAGAAGACGCGCGTGCACAGAAGTCAAACGAAGATGCGCAAACACCCAACAGGGCGAGTACCAATTGCCGCGAGCATGGCGCCTACAATCGAACTCGTCTGCCCACCACTGGAGGGCCCTCGACTAATCAGATACCAGATGCGTGGCAACGGTGGGACACAAAGGAATCCATATTCCAACCGGCACTTACCGAACCGTGACAACATATTCACAGGCCCATCTTCTCCCGCATGTACCGGGCAGACCGAAGAAACATTGAACGTGCCAGCAACTGTTTATGCGGACTCTCAGCACTCAGGTTTCGGATCAAACTCTGCTGTGCGCGCACGTCTCCACTCAAGATTACACCCTGCTGATCGCGGAACAGTGTGAGGGTGTTTGTCGCATGCTCAAACAGAGTTACGCTGTTTCTGATAAAGATGATGGCCTTCGCTCCGTTCGGTGGCGAGCTTGTGCTCCATAGAGGTCTGGCCTTGTTTACGCACCCTCTGCAGCACCTCGTCAATCTCCACGATGGCCTCGTAAATCTCATTCACCTGGCTGTATTCCCTGTTGACAACAGCCCCCGCACCTCCGACGACATACAAAATGCGGACTGGACCGCCCTGCCCATACCAGCGAGCCAAATCATCGTAAAGAAGGCTCACGCACGCTTGCAATTTGCGCGCCGTGAAGCCGAAGTCCACACAGCGCTCTGGAGGCTCTTCGCCCCCGGGAACCCCAGAAGCAAACCCGAAAGGAGGGAGTAGAAGAACGAGCAAGGAATGGAAGAACAAAATGCGGAGGAAGAAACCATAATGATGCTAACGATGATGCTGGTGGTGATGATGGTGATGATGATGGTAATGAGGATGACGATGACGATGAAGATGATGATGCGGATGACGGTGATGATGATGACGATGACGATGACGATGACGATGACGATGACGATGATGATGATGATGATGATGATGATGATGATGATGATGATGATGATGAAACGCCTACTGGGGAAGAAAGGAAGGAACGAACGACCATTGGTGCGGACCAGCGTAAGGGCCCAGCGCAGACCAGGTGGGTGACGCTGTAGCCTCTGCGCTGTCGCGTGTCTGGACACATGCAATGCGACACGAATCCGCCAACCCCTTCTGGGTCTCCAGACGTGTGAGATTCGTTCCCCGAACGGCCCCGAAGGCCCCGAGGAAAGCTCTGGGATGGCCCCGAAGAGCCCCGAGCCATCCCCCCAAAAAACAAGACGACACAAGAACGCTCCAGGACAGCAATAGAATATCCCCGACTAGATCAAGGGGTCGGCGGATGTGGCGTAAGCCTATCAAATCATCATACAAAAAAGACTCCTTGGAAACACCTTGGAACTTCTCCTTACTCCTTAATACAAAGCCTGTTCTGCATAATTGGTGGTAAAGGACGTAGCCACGAGACTGCAGAAGACAAATCACCCATTTATCAAGCTGCAAGGGAAGACGTACAGCGTTGGCCTCAAACTGGTTCTCGCGATCATCTGGCAACAGTCCCCACGTTCCAGCAAGAGATTCTGTATTGAGTACACCCACATGTTTGACATGATAGTAACCGTACTCACGAAATCTGTGTCCGGGATTGGCGCGCGCATCGTCGGCAGGGGTAAGATCACCCGAGCCGGCGGATGCGGTCCCAAGTGGCGTCGGCATGCCACTGCCAATAGGCACAGAAACGAATTCGGGACCATTGGGGTTCAAAGAGCTACCCTCTACAGCAGGCGGGATGACCACGTTCAAGCCCGCGCGCGGCTTACCCAAAGAACCCCTCACCTGCTGCCTAAGTCGAAACAGCTCGACACTGCCTTCCTCAAACTCGTCGTTCCAGGCAGATTGTCGTGCAGACGAGAGAGATATCTCGGTGGCTTCCACAGCCAAGCGACATCGCGTGACATGCTGGGGACGGGGATTGCAGCATGGAGGTGGAAGTTGCTCGGCGCGCCTGCCGGCTCAAAACAGAATGCCTTGAGCCAGAAAGGCGACGACGACGACGACGACGACGGCGGCGGCCGTCGGCGGCGACCGACGAGCACGACGCGATCAACCAAAGAGAAGGACCCCTAACCCTCTTTTGGGGGGGACCTAATTTAGGAGGGACAAACATCAGGGATAGGAGTCTTTCCTGCAAACGTACCGAAACAAACCGCCTATAAATATCATCCCTACTCTAGAGACGGGGGCCTCAGTGAGGCCACGTCTTGACTGTGTTATTAGGGTTAGGGGTTCTTCTATTCTCGATGAAACGACGAGACGATGGCGACGACGACGGCGGCGGCGACGAGCACGACGGACAGGCCGACGGCGAGGCAAACGGCGAGCCCCTCCCCCTCCCCCTCCTCCTCCTCCTCCTCCTCCTCCTCCTCCTCCCCCTCCTCCTCCTCCTCCTCCTCCTCCTCCTCCTCCCCCTCCTCCTCCCCCTCCTCCTCCTCCACCTCCTCCTCCCCCCCCCTCCTCCCCCTCCCCCAGGGGCGCCGACCGGCTGTGGCGCGCCGTCGCCAGCGCCCGGCCCGCCCGGGGGCTGCCCGCGCGCCAGCAGCGCCAGCGGCTCAGCCAGCAGCGCCGGCAGCGGGCGGGGCACGGGCTCGCGCTGCCTCGGTGGGGGCGGCGGGCGGCGGCCTCCCCCTAGGAGGAGGAGGAGGAGGAGGAGGAGGAGGAGGAGGAGGAGGAGGAGGAGGAGGAGGAGGGGAGGAGGAGGGGGACGGGGAGGAGGAGGGGAGGAGGAGGGGGAGGAGGGGGAGGAGGAGGAGGAGGAGGAGGAGGGAGGAGGAGGAGGAGGAGGAGGAGGAGGAGGTGGCGAAACCCGGATCCAGACCCCGTCGAGCAATTAAAAAATCGCGACAAGAAGCTGTTCATGATATTCGGCCTCCGGGGGCCCTTACCAGGCCTATAGGGACCGTCAACAGACTCTTCAGGATGAAGCACCGGTCCCTGGGAAGAGGGTTCCAAAACCTCTGGCGGCCGACGCAATGAAGAAATCACGACGTCGGGGGCCTGGGTCTCTAGGTGGCGACCTCCGAACCCTGCTCCCACCAACCTTCGATTCTCATGGATCGATGCTGCCACGTGTTCGACGAATTCTGAACCCTACCCCCGCCGCCCATCGGGCTCCCCGAGCCAGTGAGCGGCGAGGGCAAGGTTCCCAGACCCCCGACGTCATGAATCTGTCATCACGTCGACCCCCAGAAGCTTCGATCTGTTCCCCGGGACTGGCTTCCCATCCTGAGTCGCTTTTTGACGGTCCTGAGGTTACCAGCCTCCAATGTATCCCTATCCCTAAGATTGACAAGCCAAAAGGCGATGACAATCTTAGGGATTCGCCCTCAAAAAATAAGGGAATCCCTAAGATTGGCATCGTAATGAGGAGGTGCCCAGCATAGGGATAGGGATATGTTCCAGGCTGGTAATGAGGCCCGGTAAGGGCCCCCAGAGGCCGAACGTGGCGAAACACCTCCCGTCGTGATTTTGTTCGCTGCTCGAGGGGGCCTGGGACCCCCGCCGCCCCTCGGGCTGCCCGAGCCGGTGAGCGGCGCGGGCGGGGTTCGGATCTCGCCGCCGGCCCTCGGGAGCCCCCCAGAGAGCAGCGGCGAGGAGGCCTTGCTCTGCAGCGCCACTGCGCCTGACACGATCGCCGCTTCTGCCTCCCTGAGAGGGGGCAGCACGTTGATGTGCGGACTGCATGGGGCGGGTCCTGGCCCAGGAGAGGGGACCAAAATATGGGACAGCTCTCCTTTGATTGATGGCCTCCAAGATGGCCCCAAGAAGGCCTCAAGACCCCCTCAATAAGCCCAAAGAAGACCCCAATCCAGTCAACCCTTCTCATAAGGATGCGCGGTAAGGATGCAAGGGCCTTGGAGGGCCAAGTTGACGTTTTTCGAACGGGGCTGGCCAGTGAAAGTCGCTAAGATTGGGCCGAAGGGGCAAGGATGCAATGGTACCCTTGGGAAGGTTACCCATCCTTACTATGCGGGTTGACTGCACCCTTCAAAAAAGCCTCGAGAGGGCCCTAAGAGGGCACCAAGACAGTTCACGTCCACGTGATCCTCCTCCTCCTACTCCTCCTCGTCTTCGCTTTCCTCGTCATTGTCCTCGTCTTCGTCTTCGTCTTTGTCCGCCTCCTCCTCCTCCTCCTCCTTCTCCTCGTTGTCCCCTCCCCCTTCTCCTCGCCTTCGTTTCCTCGCCACCGTCCCCATCCTCGTTTTTGCCCTGGTCGTCGTCCTCCTAGTCCGCCTCGCCTCCTTCTCCTCCTCATCACTGCTCCCAAGATGGTCCTGAGAGAGCACCAAGAAGTCCCCAAGAGAGTCCCAAAAAGTTTCACCATTGTTTACCTACGCCCCTTCTTCAGACAACTCCCCTGGGCATCGTTTCAGGATAGGCTGGTGGAGATACGCCAAGCGCCAAGAATATGTATCGAATCGGGCCACATCGGCACGGACCGTCTGCGGCAGGATGCACAACAGCGCCATGCAATCACTGGGCGGCATCGGATCGACGCAACATAGGAATCGAATCGGGCAGGGCTGGCCGACATCGACATCGAATCGATCAGCTCGAAATTGGCCCTGAAGTCAGGGGGACGGGGAGGTGGAAGGGCAGAGAGAGGAGAGGATAGAGCGAGGAGGAGGGATGCGACAGGGCGAGTAGAGGAGAAGGAGGAGGAGGAGGAAGGAGGAATTGGCATGCCACCCCTCACTCCGCCTCCTCATCATCCTGGTGCTGCAGTCTCATCATCCTCTTCCGTGCCTTCACTCACCCTCGCCCTCCTCACTCGCTCCCCCTTCAGCATCCTCCACCTGTTCCTCTTGTTCCTCCTATTCCTGCTCCTACTCGACCCCGTCCTCCCCCCTCCCCCTTCTTCTCCTCCTCTCTCCTCATCCAGGTCGTCCTCCTCCTCTTCTTCCTCTTCCTCCTCCTCTTTCGCCTCCTCCTCCTCCTCCTCCTCGTCCTCCTCCTCCTCCTCCGCCTCCTCCTCCTCCTCTTCGATTGGCGCGTCTTCCCGCAGCCTGAGGCGGAACTCCTGCACGCAGCGCTGGAGCAGCACCCTGCTCGCAAGACGGGTGGGCCGCGGTCGGGAAAAGAGAAGAGGCAGGATGCGAGCAAGCCAGCGACGGCCCAAGTCGTCGAATCGGAAGAAGTCGAGGGCACCCATCGGGTGAGGCTGGTGCAAACAGCGCGCCTCCCTCCTCCACCCCCGCAACAGCAGCAGCTGCAGTCGTCGTCCTTCCCCCGAGGGCCCCGCAGCGCCCAGAGGAAGGACCCCCCAAGGACGCCCGGAAGCACTGTCCCTCGACCCACGATCGACAGCGGCAACAGAAGCTGCCGCCCAGTGTGCGGCTCCAGCCCATCGGGACGAGACGGAAGTCGGAGATCCCGTGAGCCACGAGGGGCCTGGCAACGAGGGGCGCGGCGGCCGGTCTCGAGTGCTCCTGAGCGCCCCGAGGACCCCTGGAACGAGGACGTCGGCGTCGGCTTCTGACGCCCTAAGCCCTGCTCCTATCCATCCTCCGCCCACGCCACGAAGACGACGGACGACGATCGACGGACTACCGACGCGTCGGCTTCTGACGCCCTAAGCCCTGCTCCTATCCATCCTCCGCCCACGCCACGAAGACGACGGACGACGATCGACGGACTACCGACGACGGCGTTGGCTTCTGACGCCCTAAGCCCTGCTCCTATCCATCCTCCGCCCACGCCACGAAGACGACGGACGACGACGACGACGACGACGACGACGACGACGACGACGACGACGACGACGACGACGACGACGACGACGACGGTCGCCAGACCCCTCCCGCGGTGCACCCTGGGTAGTTTTTCAGCCTGGGCCACTACTCTGCTGGCCCTGGGGCCTGAAAACAAGCTCGAAAATACGCTTCCGAGCGACGACGACGACGACGACGACGACGACGACGACGACGACGACGACGACGACGACGACGACGAAGCGACGACGACGACGACGACGACGACGACGACGACGACGACGGCGGGAGCGGCGGCGGCGACGACGACGACGACGGCGGGAGCGGCGGCGGCGACGACGACGACGACGACGACGGCATGGCGAGATGCGACGGTGGCGGCGAGCCCTGGCGGCCCGGCGGGCGGCGTCGTGAGCCTTTCGGCCCGGATCTCCCGCACCAGCACGGCGGTGATGCTGGAGGAGGCGGCCGGCACCGCGGCGAGGCCCTCGCGTTAGGTCGGGCGTGTCCCCCTACAGGCGGATCTTCGACGAAAAATAAAAATTTGTCCAAAAATATTCAAAAGTTGTCAAACATTTAAAAAATCGTCCCCATACTATGCCTTGACAAGTTTCATAGATTCCCCCTGTAGAGGGACGTGCCCGATTTGACCCTCGCGGAGAGGGGCGCAAAAGGGAGGGGGGCCAAGTACCAGACCCCCCCCCTGGCGAGACTCGCACGGCGAGGGGAGCGCACCCCTCACGCCGCATCGGGGTCGCTTTCCTCGGCTAGTCTGCCCGCGGCCGATCCATGCTGCCGCTATGGGAGGGGTGCAACCCCACGGTGGGGTTAGCACCGCTCATGGGCCCGCCACGCCCCCCCCCCATTGCGACTGAAGGCGTGGCTCGATTGTTGCACGGTGGGCTCAGAATTGCCTGTGTGCCGAGAGAACAGAAAGTACTGATACCGCTACTCCCTGGACCTCTCCAAGGGTGCGGTCTGACCCGCAATCCGAGGCGAATCCAGCGGGGGCGACGAGGGCCTCCCAAGAGGCCCAACGTGGCGAAAACGAGCCGAGGGTAGCGGTATGGGTACCTGTTCCTTGGCGAATCGGCTCGCGCAGCTTGTTCCCCCAGCGCCTCCCGGCGCGGGAGGGAGGCGCCAGTGAGAAGGGGCCTAGGGACACACAAAAAAGAAATACACACAAATCCCAGGATCCCGCACATTTGTCCCAATAGTTTCTTGGGGAATCGACGATTTCTTGTGTCTGTGTGTGTTCCTTCCCTACTGACAGTGCACATCGAGAGGAGGCGGCGGGCGGCGGCGCGAAGCCAACTGCGCGCGGGAGGTCCCAGACACACACACACACACACACACACAAACACACACGCACACGCACACGCACACACAAACACACACGCACACGCACACGCACACACAAACACACACGCACACGCACACGCACACGCACACGCACACGCACACGCACACACAACACACAACACACACGTAACACATACGTAACACACACGTAACACACACACACAACACACACAACACACACACACACACACATAACACACACACACATAGCACACACACAACACACACAACACACACAACACACACACACAAACACAAACACAAACACACACACACACACACACACACACACACACGCACGCACGCACGCACGCACGCACGTACGCACGCACACCCTCGGCCAGTGCCCGCCCGTTTCTCGTCCGACATGGCCCTGGCCGAGAACCAGCCCAGGCATCCAGCGTCTTGAGCAGAAGAGCATCGGCTGCGCGGAAGAGTGACCCTAGGCAAGAGTGACCCTTCGTGCGCGGATGAAGGGGACGCAAGGTGGTCAAATCCAAGCACGCAGGCGGCCACTATCGCATCGCGCTCAGCGATCGGGGGGACCCTGCTGGCCCTGCACCAAAAGGTCACTCCGGCGAAGGGCCACCCCTTACATGTGGCTGAAATCGTGGGGAGGCGGCACTCTCTGCGAAGCGGCGACTTGTGCACTATCGCCTGGCCTGGGGACCGATGCCCTGGGACACGGGCACACGCTTGGGACCCAGGGGCGCCCGAAAATGTCAAGGTCCACCGCCTCAGAGGATGCCCAGGAGCTTCGGTTTCCCAGACGAGTGATATGCATACATTCCAGGCTCGGAATTTGGTCGGGGGGCGTCTTCGCGCGACTGGTCTGTCAAGAAACGGCCCCGGTTTGTGTGGTCTTGACGGCCCCTGGGCCGAGAGCGGGCCAGAGGCCGAACACTGCGAACAAAAATCCTCGAGCATCCGAGAATCTGCCGTAGTATGGCACGCAGTGATCGCGGGGCGCGCAAGCATGGATTAGTTAGCGATCCATGGACTTCGCGCGCGCTCGCCATATCCATGGATCGGGGGAGGTGCCCTCCCCAAAATGCGGGAGGTGCCGCCTCGTTCGGCTGCGGGAATCCACTATTCCCTGGGGAAACGAGACCCGTCGCTAATCCACGCCCCCTTGATCCATGTTTGCGATCGCCTGAGTAGTATGAAATTCAATGAAGGGGGCAAGGGAATCCCCAGGATGGTCCTCCGCGGGCTGACGCTAGCCGCTATCCCCACATTGCTTCCCCAGGCCCCCTGCCAGGCCTCGTCCGTCTCGTACTCGGAGAGGGGCCGGGGCGCCTCCAGCATCGACAGCAACTGCGAGCAAGCTTCCTCTCCAGGATCGGGGAAAAAGAGGGCTCCGGAGCACAATGGAAAAGGTAAAGGAAGGGGAGAGACTGAGGGAAAAGGGCGTTCCGCTGTTCCTGGGGTTGGTTGGCAATTGACCGACCAACTGGGGAAGATCTCTGACATTTCGTCTGATGCGACGCACTGCCTGGCGAAACACGGGCGCTTACTCTTAGAATTAGGTGAGGCCTGTCCCCCATACAGGGGGGTTTTGGACGAAAAATGAAAATATTCAAGAAATACCAAAACAACAAAACATAAAAACAGAGTCCCCATATTATCTTTTAGCTATTTTTGAATATTCCCCCTGTAGAGGAGCAAGCCCGACTGAATCTTAGAATGGAAAGACGCTGCGCGCGTCGGCCACCATCTCCACGGCCCTCTCCATCACGGACCCCGCGTGTCCCAAGCTCCCCTCGGTCTGCTGGGGCCCGAGGCCGTCGCCTCCTATACCTGGCATCGGTGGCGTGCCGCGGTAGATCTCCTTCTGCGCAGCTTCCAATCACCCCGCGCCTGCGCCTGCTCTGCGTACCCCTCAAAATGCGACGGGATGATTGATCCAATGTGTGACTGCCTGTGGTAACTTACATTTGCGCCACGGCTCTGCGCGCCGCCCCCCCCCCCCCCCCGCCCCACGCATCCCCCGCGACCCGCTCGCGTCGCCGTCGAGGCTCTGCAGCGCCCTCCAGGAGCTCGAGCTGCCAGCCTTCAAGGGTGCTCAGCGTGATTCGAGGAGCCTCTAATCCACTACGAACCTAAGTAGGCCCCTTCTTCCTGCACCTCGGTGCTGGTCGGGAGACCCCCGCGGTCTCTTCCGTGGACCTCATCGCGGATGTCGCGGCCGCGGCGGTCGCGCCTCGCGACGCGAGCGCGCGCTATCTCCCGCCCCGTCGACATCGAAGTGCCTGAGAGCAGGCGCAAAGCTGCTCCCTATATCGGGCAGACCTGGTGGCCCGCGCCGCACTCCTCCTCTCCGCGGGGCCGCGGGCGCTGCTGGGCTTGGCTCGGCAGAGGGGCGAGCGCTTGTCTCTCGGGGCCACGAAGTTTAAGCGTCGCGCGCCGACCCCCCAGCTGGCCCCTGCGCCCTCGCCGACCGACTCCGAAGTCATGCGATTCGCGCGAGTGCCGTGGCCGCCCTCATCCCCCTGCCGGCCCATCTCCTAGTCGCGCTCGCAAGGGTCGCGCCCCCGGCGGTCCGCAAGTGATCGCATCTGGCGGCGAGTGCGCGCAGTCCCGCATCGCGTCGCTCGCGCCCGTAAAGATTTGACAGAGCTCGACGCGCCGCGCCAAGCCCTCGACCAGCTTGCAGCGCAGACGACATCCGAACCTGCTGATGATGCGCGCCAGGTTGTCATGGCTGGCCCTGGGCGCCGTCCCCGCGTTTGCCGCCCACTTCTTCTGGCTGCCCACCGTGGGCCAGATCATCCTCGACATTGCTGCGACCACCTGCGCGCGCCACCGCCGGCCCCATTGCTGCTGGCCTCGCCATGCTGATCTCCTCTGTCACGCCACTGGTCTCGCTCTTGCATTGGTGAGACGCCAACTTCTCCAGCTTATGGAAAATTTAACGAAACGCTGTTATCCGAGCTCGCTGTGACCTAGAATGCGGCGCAATCCCCAGTCTCCTCCGATTCGCGCAAGTCGGCCACGGGCTCCTGGCCCGCGAATGTCCTGGCGGCGCTCGCCACGACGCCGCAGGCGCTAGACGCCGTCGCCACTATTGTTCTCCAGCCCGCGGTCGAATTGCGCGCGAGGCACCTGCTGCGCGGCCTCGGAGGGCCGCGACCCCCACCCCCTCCTATATGTTCACCAGGTGTTCAGCGTCAGCAGTTCTGCACCCCGGCTTGCCCGTCCAACGCATTTCCCTCCCGTGGGCTTCTCTGAGCCGGACACCGACGTCGCTGCACTTGGGGCTCGAGCAATGGACCCCTGGGTTCGGGTCGGAGCCGTTCGGGCAGACCGGCCACCTGGGCGCGCCCCCTCTAACAGCTCGGTCCTTCCGTCCCTCTTGCCTTCTCGCTGTCCTGCATCTGCTTCTCCTCCGCCCTCTCGAGCTCCGCCCGACGCGGCCCGCCCCTGGCCGCGCCCCCCCCCGCCCCCAATTCGTCGCGAACGCGTGGCCCTTTGTTAGCCTGAGGCATTGGGTTGTCATCTCCCGAGGGCCCCCCTGAACCCTCGCCCATCTCTTGCAAGGCAGCGGGCGGGGCAATCAGAGCGCCCTGGATGTCTCCAGGAGGGCCCCCCCCCCCCATGCGCCATGATTTGAGATGGCCGACGATGCGGTTTTATGTTGCCAGACAGTGGCGAGGGTGGCTGCAGGACGCATGATCGCCATGGGCTGCCATGACAATCGGCTTTCCTTGCAAAGCAATCGCTGCGCGACGCGCGCGTCGCTTTCGCCTGGAGCGCATGCACATTATAGCATGCGTATACTAAGGTTAACTATCTGTTGAATGCCATTTATTTTCGCAACATATTTTCCGGCTAGAAATCAATCATGCCAGCTCCTTCCCAAAGTGCACACATTGCAACCCATCTCCACCTTCCCTGTCTTCTCCTTCCCGATCGCCGCTCTCGCGCGCGACATGTGGCCGCTGAGGGGGCAAGGCCTTCTCCGCGACGTTGCCGCCGACCTTCTTGTCGCTCGGTCTACCAGCTCCGGCCGCCTTGCGCATCTTGGTCGTCTCCGCCGCGCGCAAGGACCTCCTCCCCGCGAATGCGACGTCGAGCTCCCCCCTGCGCCATGTCCTACGTTCGGCGAGCTCATCGCGCCCCCTGCCCGTCGGACCCCATAGTCCCATCGACGTTTGTCGCCTGTGCCTGCGCCGCGGCAACTGCGACGCGGGCGCGGGGCTGCCCCTCGGGCGCGGTGCCTCCGCGCGGTTCTGACCTGCCGCGCGCGCTCTCTTCCTGCCATTGCGCCTTGCTTGAACGGCGAAGAGATGATGGGGGCCAGCCAGAACGCGTCGCCCGGGCACTGGGGCCACCTCGCCAGCTTGGCCGGCCTCTACGACAGCTCCTGCCGCGGGAAATCGCCTGCGCGCAGTCGCCGCGGCCGTCGCCGCCCCTGCGCCCTCCTCTCGGTAGCGGTCTGATGCTTCACCTGCGGCTCCGGCGGCTTCCGTCCGTTGTCGACGTTGCCGATCCCCGTCGCCCCGGGCCCTCCCCCGTCTTTCTGGCACGGGTTTCTCGGCCAGCTCGTCGCGCCGACGCCGTTTATCCGAAGGACTCCCAATATCCCCTCAACGAGTTCGGACTCTCGCTCCTTCCCATGGTCCAGTCGCAATGTCTTAAGCAGCGCCGCCGCCTTTCTTAATTGAGTACACCTCTGTCGCAGCTCCAAATCCCCTCGCAAGCAGTCAACCGTGCCTTCTCTTACTTGCCTCCTGCACAGAAGCAACGCCGCTGTTCCTATCGCACCGAAACAACTTCGGTTTCAGCGGCGCATTGCTGCACTTGTCTGAAGCGCCTGTCGATAGCTACCCTCGCAAGCCCACGCAAAACCTCCACGTCGAGTCGACGGCGCTCTTGTATGTTTTACCCAGTAGGGCTCCTGAAGCTTCTGGGGGGCTCTGTGGAAGGCGGTCGAGTCCTCGGTCGAGCAGTCCGAACTCGGCCCCACTCCTCCTCCGCCTCTCCCATGGGCAAATAGAGCGAACTTCAGGAATTGGACGGCGCACCCTGGCATCTGGCATTACAGAAGGTTGACGTTGCCGATGTCTGGTTACATTGTCCTGTTGACTGGCGCACGGTTGCTTGTGCTTGCAGTAGGTCCGACGGTTACAGTCGGTGTGCGGTATCTGTCCCCCGCCCTTGATGAGCTGGAATCGTGCGGCTGCTGTCCTGAAGGCCGCGGGCCTGTGTGCTACCCCCAGTGCCCGCGCGGGCGTAACACTATGACCGATAGAGCTGGTATCTCCCTCTGCTGCATAGCAAGTGGGTCCTACATCCTTGTGGGAAGAGGCTATACTTAAAGAACTGACGTTGCACACGCCTCTAAAGCGCGTCCAGCGTTCAGTCTCAAAAGATCTGCCCAAATTTCCCAATACATTCCCCCACGGGTGGTCCACAATCCCGTCGCCAGACGTCTGCAGCCCAAGTTGGTTGGTCACGCCCCTCTCAAAACAATCAGTGTCGTGCTACCGGGTCCGCCACACCGTTCTTCAGTCAACTACGCGATCCTGCTGGCATTCCTTCCATGCTCCTTATGGGTAGGTCGGTGTTTTGTACATGCGAAAGAAGCAAGAACCGATTTCACTCGACCGAAACCGAATATCATCTGTTCGTGTTTGTATCGGGACAGGGGGTGTACTCGTGGCTCGCAGTGCCAGGGCGGGGGTCTGTGCGACACCAAGACCGTTACCCAACATAGCGTCGTCATATAGTTGTTTTTCTTACCACAAACGTCTAAGCTTAATGGTGCGGTAGCGGCAGATGCGCCTCTGCATTCACACACGCCCAAATGGTGTGTGCCGTTGGTAATATTATACCCCACCCATGCAGCTGTCTGCGTAGATCCTCCAATGGTTATCCCTGCAAAGTGGCCACCGGGATGCAAACTACGACTTTCATCCGGCAGCGCTACATAAAAGTAAATAGCTGGTGTCTGTCCATCTCGCGCGCATGCCCCTTTTCCCTTCCCTCTTTCTTTGGTTCGTGGCGAACGCGGGTGGGCCTACAATCACCTGTGGATAGGAGATGCCTGCCCTCCTGTCGGGTCGGTTAACATCTCGATCCTCCCCACGGCGACGATGAGGAAGAGGGGAAAAAAGGAACAGGCTACATAAACGGACTACTGGTTTAGGCTGTGCCAGGGGGGGGGGGCCTGAGAATCCTGTGGTGCCTTGGGGTTGTGGGTTAATGGAAGTTCGTCTCCCCTCACATGTCCCTCCTCCTCCACCCTTCCCACACCCCCACGGCATTAAGAACCTCCCTTATGGGCGCGCTTCTCCTGCTCCTCATATTCATGGAACCTTGTTCCTCCTTC